TTTCATAGTCAAAAACAAAAAAAAAATCCTTTTAACCCAGAAACTGGGCATGACTGTGTTTTTTTTTTTTACTGTTATCACCTGAAGACATAGCAGTTTTTGAGAAACTTCCTTTAAGGATCTACTTACTTTTCACAGTAGACTCTATTTTTGAAATTATTTAGGCCTTAACATGTTTTTAGAAATGGTACTGCAGGCATGATTGTGGTAGAAGTGTAACTCAGTCAGAAAACAGTAAGAGTAGAGGTTTTTTGTTTTTTTTTTAAACAAGAATAAAATAGGAAATCTTAGATTGTGCTTCTGTGCTGCCACGTCTTGGAATGCCTGTCAGGAGAACTCTAGGGAGCCAGGGGTGGAGGTGGGAGATTGGTAAGAAAATTCTTATTAGACATTTTATCTAAGACGTGTTTCTTGTTGGTAAAGAGCTATGAATTATAGGTTTTTACATGGCTGATTGTGATCAAACCACTTAGAAAATATTGCAAAGAGACAAGCTGAAAATAAAGTGTCTCTTGCTGTGGTTATACCCTGAAATTGAGCAATAGGAAGCCAGTGGCTTAGGAACTCATGCAGTATTCACTTAAAAATGCACACAGATGTGTTTGGTTACTAAAAGACGACACAGTGGCAATGCTGCACTGGTTTATTGCCAAACAGACTAACCGGGGTTTCAGATTTGATTTTCCTTTTAGGTGTATTTTGTAAGTAATTTAGTAAAAGACTGAATAGACTGCTTTAAATGCTATTTGTTCACTCCTCCTCCACTCCACTATTAAATCCATTGGCACAGACTACACAAAGACAGGCTCATTATTTTTCTAAAATGCAGACTGGCCCTTCCTAGGGTACTACTTGAAATAAACAGAGCCAGATGGAGAGAGACTACGTATCTGAATTTCTCTTTGAGAAAGATGACTCAGTCAAAAATGATAACCTGTTTGAAAAAAGACAAATACACATGCACACCATTATTTATTTATAAAGTTCAAGTATAGGTAATAATTTAGTAGATGAAATTGTGAGCATCCACTTAGAAAGTGTCTAAGTTTATTTTGTAATACTGTAACTTCATTGTTCTAGTTCAATATGCTGTTGCCTTTGTGAGCTCAGATTTTACTGTTAGCCAGTTATTAAACTTTAAGCACGTCATCTTTTCACCAGAACTAGAGATTGCATGAAGTATAGAAGGATGAAAAATCTAACATTTGTGCTATCCTTATTAAGTTTAGTCTAAGTGGCATTGCTTTTTCTGTCTTCTCTCACTGGCGTTGCCATTCTCTTGGCTCCTGACACCTAACCACCTTGTATTATTGTCTTAGCTTCTTATTTAAATACCCTATTGCAATTGAACTTTTAAATATATCTATTTCTGATCTCTCCCAACAGATGGTAATATTTGAAAGGGATCACGGCTATTTATGTTTAGCTAGTTTAGAGAGCCTAGCAAAGATCATTGAGAGTCACTTTAGAGACACTCAAGAACTATTGTTGAATAACTACTAAGTGCAATTTCTGAAAATCATTTTATATTTTAGCACATCGTAGTCAAGAACTTCTGTCAATGTTAATTAACTGTTAGTAGAGAAAAGAGGTTGATTGTAAAACAAGGCAAAATTCCCACTTCGATTAAACGATTTTTTTTTGGTCAGGTGGGCACTTTCTTTCATAAAAAGGATCTCTTTTTTTCCCATTGAAGCATCATTGGTGAAGTTTTGATCTTTCTTTAGTATTTGGAACTTTCTCACTGGCACCTTCTAAAGCAGAAAATTTGTCACTCCCCTTTCGTTGAAAGAAACTTGACTCTTAGCAAGCGTGATAGACAGGGAGCTCGCTAAGGCTTGTGGGAAGACAACTATTTACTCCAGGAAACAATTGTTTAATGTACCTGTTCTGTGACTTTGGAGGGAAGAACACGCTGAATCGATAAAAACCTAACGTGGGCAGAAATGACTTGGAATTCTTTGGGTAGATGTTAGGGCTGTTATTTACTATTTGAAAAATGTTGATTTAAATTCCTGGACAGTGCATTGTGTAATTGCCAATACATTTATGTGCTGAAAAGGGTATCAATAGCATTTTAACTCCAAAGTCATTTTTATTCTAGAAGCAATTTAAATTTTATTCCTAAATGAACGCTGTGACACCTATTCCTCTTGTTTCTGGCAATATATGGTTTTCAGTCTCATGTGTTCACTGTGTCCCTTTATTTTAAGTCTCATTAGGGAAATTCGGAAATTAACGTCACCAGATGCTCCCTTATGAGGGTGTGTCATAGGGAGCTTGTCCCTATAGATGTGTAAGAAAGGCAATAATTGACCGGGCGTGTTGGCTCACACCTGTAATCCCACCACTTTGGGAGGCAAAAGCAGATGGATCATGAGGTCAGGAGTTAGAGACCAGCCTGACCAACATGGTGAAACTCCATCTTTACTAAAAATACAAAATTTAGCTGGGTGTGGTGGTGCACTCCTATAATCTCAGCAACTCGGAAAGCTGAGGCAGGAGAATCGCTTCAACCCGGGAGGCGGAAGTTGCAGTCAGCCGAGATCAGGCCACTACACTCCAGCCTGGGCGGCAGAGCGAGACTCCATCTCCAAAAAAAAAAAAAAAAAAAAAAGACAATAATTATTTATATATTAAAAATCTCCACTTGAGCCCAGAAGTTTGAAGCTGCAGTGAGGCAAGATCATGTGACTGCACTCTGCACTCCAGCCTGGGTGACAGAGCAAGACCTTGTCTTGAAAAAAAAAAGAAAAAGAAAAAGAAACGATCCCTTGCAAATAAACTTACATGTAAATTTTTAGACTTGAAAATGTGATCCAGTTAGGAAACTTTTTTTTCTTTTTTTTACTTTCCTGAAGATTCAAAGCTGAACAGAAGTTCATATTAGACATGGCAGAACCTATTAGCAAAGTATGATTATGGCCAATTCTGTTCAGTCTTATGGAGATGTAGAACACACTTAGAGGTATGTGTAGTTGTCATCAGGCAGTCTCAGGGTATGGGAGAAATACTTGGTCATTACTCTGCAACTGATGGCTGGAGAGTAATTACGTCAGTGACCGTACACTATCATGCTTAGTGATACCAGGCCTGGCAACCATTTTAACTTCACACAATGAGTTATGTTCTCAACGAAGTAAGGATTCAATAAGGTAGGAAAAGCCTCAAAAAATAATTTATCTTAAAGGATCTCTGCTTTTTTTCTGCTCTTGCAAATGTGACTGATGACATTTTGCTAGGGTCATGTACATAGAATTCTTAGCATGTCTTTTCACGCATTCAAAAAAAAAAAACCTGTTGAAAGGCCAGTTCCCTCATATTATGGGGTTTTCACATGTTGCTCAGGCCAGTGTCAAACTCCTGGGCTCAAGTGATCCTACTGCTTCAGCCTCCCAAAATGCTGGGATTACAGATGTGAGCCACCACGCCCAGCCTTGAAAGTACAATCTTAATGGGACATCTTTATCTACCCAAATTTGTAAATATGCTAATAATCGACAAATTACTTGACATACATGAGACTGACTGAACCCATCTACTGTATTTCAGAGGTTGAAACGTATTTGTTTAATTGAACCTTTCATCAAGTGCATTTATCTACTAAACACTCCTATTTATTGACTTTACACTAATTTTTCTCAGTTCAGAAAAGGGCATATGTTACATTTAGGAATGAAAGTTTGATTTTATAAGCCAATTAAACAGAAGTCCCATTTGAAATATTACCTTGTAGCAAATTTTGCTAGATTCTAACTGATCTTTAAAGAGAACATTCAGTACTCTCATCTGAATAGCATTTAAAAATTCCAGTTTCTATTGGGAGAAATTGAGAATTATTTTCCTGGGGTTATGTGATGATAGAGAAAATTATTTAATCACATTTGCTGGCAACTTAAAAAGACAAAAATACAACCTCTATGCATATATGCATGTATGTGGGGGTAGATGGAGGGGTGTAAATCCAGAGGGGGACTTGACCGCCTGTGAATTTCTTATTTTGTATTTTTATTATCATTGGTGGGACAGATTTATTTTATTTTATTTTTTGATGACAACACCCCACATGTCCTTTTAGTGTGATTCCATGAAGAAACTTGCCTATTGATTGCAATTCTGTAGCTTAGAAAGGTTAAGTTATGGTTTTAAATATGGGTTAATTACCATTGATGTGTGAATTCAGGTTCTAAAAGAAATGCATATCAGAAGAGAAACTTAACCGAATAGTATTAATTTAACCGTTTTCAAAGCTGTCTCCTAGCTATGATAAGGAGACAGAATACTTTATGTTATCTCTGCCTGGTAATCTAGATGAACATATTTGGTTGGTGCAAAGGTAATTGCAGTTTTTGCCATTGAAGGTAATGACCAAAACTGCTACTACTTTTGTACCAACCTAATACATGATATATAGAAAAGATATCTTAGCAGCACATGATAAGGGCTAATGAATGGTACAGATATATTACAAACTTTATAGTTTGCAGGATTAGCTAATATCTTTGTGTTCAGTGTCTGTTTTGAATAATGAAAATTGAGACTTGGCAATTTGTCAAGGAAAGATTCATTTCTGTTGCATATACAATTCTTGTTAAGATGGAAAGCAGACCTGCGTCATTTGGAAAAACTTTCTAGAAAGGTTGAAACTAAGAGAGGCTTGTAGAGCATCAGAAAACGTAACTTTTCACTCACACAATTATGAGTTAGCTGCATTTTTAGGTATTTTATGCATCAGTTAGTTTTGCATGTCCACCATTAAATAGTGAGAATTTTTAATGGAAAGAAAGAGAAAGTCAACTTGACAAAACAACCTGTGGGCCAAAAGCTCTTCAGTATGCTTGTGAGGCATCATTAGCAATACAATAATAAAGACTGAAAATTATATAATTTCTGTGAAAGCAAAATCTTTGCTCTATGTTTGATTTCATTTCTGCCAGCTCACAAACACTTGACTTTTGTTGAATTTGGAAAATATGTTTTTTTTGTCCTTTGGGTCCTAGATTAAGAAGAAACAGCAGGATGTGCTTGGTTTCCTAGAAGCCAACAAAATAGGATTTGAAGAAAAAGATATTGCAGCCAATGAAGAGAATCGGAAGTGGATGAGAGAAAATGTACCTGAAAATAGTCGACCAGCCACAGGGTACCCCCTGCCACCTCAGATTTTCAATGAAAGCCAGTATCGAGGGGTAAGAAACAACTTAAATTCTTGTTTATTGAAATAGATTGCCCCAAATCTATTCATTATTTTCAACTCTGCCTCCAAATCTGCATATATAGTCATATCTCTTGCATACTGTCATTTGTCCTTTGTATCCACTCAAAGGCTGGATGTAGATAATGGCTATGTTTTCTAAATATGTTTGCTATTGATTATATGTCACAGCTAAACTTAAGAAAGTTTGTTACTTTGGGAGAATGCCTTGTGACTTAGAAGATGACTGTAGGAGCCCCAACCAAATTTAGTCATGTGAAGATTCTCTTGCATTCCCCAGGTTGAAACCTCTTAGCTGTTGTTCTTCCTGTTATGTATCATGGATATCTCATTGCCTTTCTTAAAGCATAGCACAGATTAACTGTTCTTCTGACCCTGGGCATGTCTAGTTAATATCTAGTCTGTGGGCTCTGAGAAAATTTCTACTTAAATGAATAATGGAACAGAAATATGGAGAATGTAAAGAACAGTGTCTGACCAGAAACAAGCATCTTCTTACTGGGAAATAGTGCCTGCTTTACATGGTGGAGTAGGCTGCAGGCAGATTTAAATTTGATATGATGTGGAATAAATCATTCTGCAGTTTTTGTCCCATAGTATAGCATACTTTTCAAGCTAAATTAAATAAGATCCAGAAGCCTTGCCTCTTTATTACTCCTTACTCCTTACAGAATTCTAGTTTTATGGGAGTTAGTCTGTCCCCAAGGAGGTAGCTGAGTCTGTCGACCAGTCAGGTCATTGTGAATAAATCTCTGTTTTTCTTTTTTATTGGTATTGCATATTGCTAATTAATTTTACCTTCTTTTCATCAAGGACTATGATGCTTTCTTTGAAGCCAGAGAAAATAATGCAGTGTATGCCTTCTTAGGCCTGACAGCCCCTCCTGGTTCAAAGGTATGATACCCTTTTTTTCCTGCTTTATAGGTCATTTTATTGCTGCTGAGCTTTTTTAATCAGTAAGATTTTCACTTTTGTTAAGTATTCAGATTAAGTCAGAGACAGTCCTTTATAGCTAAAAGTGCCTTCTCTGTATGCACCTAATCCCTATTAGGGCAGACAGATATGCATAACCAAATACATAAACTATGTGTTTAGCAGTTAGGTAGACTGACTTTCCCATCAAACTGCCCACAGCAGCAAATTTCTTATTGACTTACTCATGAATAAGTGCTTAGTATTTTCAAAGCCTTCATTATTTTAGCTGTCCTACATGGTGCTACATTGACAGTAAACATCTTAGTTTATGGTAATCTCCTTGGCAGCATTTATTGTCTTTTTGCAAGAGCAAATGAGAGAATCATCCATTCAAGTTAATTAAGAGCATCTACATTGCAAAACTGGTCATTAAATTGCTCACCAAATTTGAGGTTCTTTTCCTGCCACCACAAATTAAAATTTTTAGTAGCAGCATTTTCAGGAAATACCAAATAAAGGAAACAACAATAAAATTGTCTGTCTAATGGGATGTCTCAAAACTATCAACTTTAAACATACCTTTGCCTTTTATATTAAAACTTGTCCACACAAACTACCTTAATCAAAATGCTTGTCTCTTGCTCTATCATTCTATGTTTTGCTCTTGGCAACTAATTTTATGTTAGACAGATTCTCGAAACTCCAATTCCTTCTCCACTTTTAAAAGTCTCCTATTTATAAAGTCTCCTATTTTGAAAGTCATTTTTCTAGCGAAAATTATCTGTTTTCACTAGACAGAATTTACTAGTACTGTGTTTATGTCATTGCGACATGGTCTTCTTGCTGAAATTTCTTTTCCCATGGATAAAATGTTACATTTTAGGGTTTGTATAATCTGAGCCATAAGAAAAGTTAGGCAAGGCACTTTTAAAGAATAAGATAATTAGAGGACTAGATTGCAGCATCTGGAGGCTTGCATCATGAATTTTAGACCCAGATAGACTGCAAGAACAAACCAGCAATCCTGAGAGGACCCACAGACCATCTCAAGGAAGCGGACTTCTCCTGTTGGACCCAGGAGACACCCCAATTTCTGTTAGTGCCCCAACTGTGGAAGTGGAAAAGGGATACCCTCCTCTCCCCAACACACCCCCCCACCACTGGAAAGGCTGTAGGTCTCTTTGCAGGAGAAGTTTCCAACTTTACCTGGAGCTGAGTCAAGTTAGAGAGCCCAGTGAAATACAGGGGTAGAGGAAGCAAGAGGAAGGCCCTGGGAGCTCACTGCGTCCCCAAGCAGCCCATTTCTGCCTGTCACCACCAGGATCCATCTGGAGGGTGGCCAGAGGAGTAGCGTGGAAAACTTCACAGACAGGAGGAATTCTCTAGTCAAATTTAGTAACAATTTGAACAGGACGAGAAGCCTCCTTCATAAGCAAGGGAAGAACTAAAGCCCCCCTTTTTTCACAGCTGTGGGCAGATAACCTTGGGTGAATTTTTAAGCTTCTTTTGCCCTCCAACTGGAAACAGACTCAGGGCGGTTCGAGGGAGCCACAGTGGGAGTGAAACTGACCCTTTGGTTTCCCTGGGAGCTGGGCGAGGCATGTGACTGCTGACTTACCACGACTTCCCTGACAACCTGCATGCCTCAGCAGAGGCAGCCATAATCCTCCTAGGTACAAAACTCCAGTGACCTGGGAGTCTCACCCACATTGCTCACAGCAGCCTCAGCATGACCCATCCAAAGGGAGTCTAAGCTCAGACATGCCTAGCCCTGCCCCTAACTGATGGTCCTTCCCTGTCCACCCTAGTGGAGGACAAAGAGCATATAATCTTGGGAGTTCTAGGGCTCCACCCACTGATGGTTCCTCTCCACAATACAACAGCTGATGCTGTCTGGAAGGCATCGCTTTTTGGCCCACCAGCACAAAATAGAGTATTAAACCACCAAAGCTAAGGACCCTCATGGAGTCCATTGCACCCTCTGCCACCTCCATGAGAGCAGGCGCTGGTATACATGGCTGAGAGACCCATAGATGGTTCATATCATAGGACTCTGTGGATACAACCCCCAGTACCAGCCCAGAGCTGGGTGGACACGCTGGGTGGCTAGACCCAGAAGAGAGAAAACGTTCACTGCAGTTTGGCTCACAGGAAGCCACATTTATAGAAAAAAGGGGAAAGTACTACATCAATGGAACAACCCCCCAGGACAAAATAATCTGAACAACAGTCTTCAGCCTTAGACCTTTCCTCTGACAGAGCCTACCCAAATAAGAAAGAACCAGAAAACCAACTCTGGTAATATGAAAAAACAAGGCCTTTCAACATCAGGAAAAAACACACTAGTTCACCAGTATTGAATCTAAACCAAGAAGAAATCCCTAACTTACCTGAAAAAGAATTCAGGGGGTTAGTTATTAAACTAATCAGGGAGGGACCAGAGAAAGGCACAGCCCAATGCAAGGAATCCAGAAAATGATACAAGAAGTAAAGGGAGAAATATTTAATGAAATAGATAACTTAAAGAAAAAAATCAATAAAAAATTCAGGAAACTTTGGACAAATGTTTAGAAACACGAAATGCTTTGGAAAGTCTCAGCAATAGAATTGAACATGTAGAAGAAAGAAATTCCGAGATTGAAGACAAGGTCTTCGAATTAACCCAATCCAAAAAAGACAAAGAAAAAAGAATAAGAAAATATGAACAAAGCCTCCAAGAAGTCTGGGATTGTCTTAAATGACCAAAACTAAGAATAGTTGGTGTTCCTGAGGAAATATCGAATTCTAAAAGCTTGGAAAACGTATTTGGGGAAATAAATGAGGAAAACTTATCTGGCCTAGCTAGAGACCTATACACCCAAATACCAGAAGCACAAGGTACACCTGGAAAATTCATTGCAGAAACATCTTTGCCTTAGGCACATTGTCATCAGGTTATCCAAACTTAAGACAAAGGAAAGAATCTTAAGAGCTGTGAGACAGAAGTACCAGGTAACCTCTAAAGGAAGAACATTATCAGATTAACTGCAGATTTTTCAGCAGGAACCCTATAATATAGATGGGATTGGGGCCATATCTTCAGCCAAAAAATCAAAGTGATTATCAGTCAACAATTTTATACTGAGTGAAACTAAGCATCATATATGAGGGAAAGATACAGTTCTTTTCAGACAAACAAATTCTGAGATAATTTGCTCTTACCAAGCCACCGCTACAAGAACTGCTAAAAGGAGCTCTAAACTTTGAAACAAATCCTGGAAACAGATCCAAACAGAACCTCTTTAAGGCATAAATCACACAGGACCAATAAAACAAAAATGCAAGCTTAAAAGCAAAAGCAAAAACAACAATGAAGAAAAAACAAAGTACACAAGCAACAAAGAGTACAATTCATGCAGTGGTATCTCACATTTCAATGCTAACATTGCATATAAATGGCCTAAATGCATCACTTAAAAGACATGGAACTGCACAATGGATAAGAACTCACCAACCAACCTTCAAGAGACTCACCTAACACATAAGGACTCACATAAATTAAAGGGTAGAAGAAGGCATTTCATGCAAATGGACACCAAATGAGAGTAGGGATAACTATTCTTATATCAGACAAAACAAACATTAAAGCAACAGTGGGTAAAAGAGACATTATATAATGGTAAAAGACCTTGTCCAACAGGAATATATCACAATCTTAAAAATATATGCACCTACACTGGAGCTCCCAAATTTATAAAACAATTACTCATAGATCTAAGAAATAAGATAAACAGCAACACAGTAATAGTGGGGGAATTCAGTACCCCATTGACAGCACAGAAAGTCAGCAAAGAAACAATGGATTTGAACTATACCTTACAACAAACGGACTTAACAGATATATACAGAGCATTTCATCCCCAAACTGCAGAATACACAATCTCTTCAACAGTGCCTAGAACTTTCTTCAAGATAGGCCTTATGACAGGCCATAAAATGAGCCTCAATAAATTTAAGAAACTTGATGTTATATCAAGCAGTCTCTGAGACCACTGTAAAATAAAACTGGAAATCAACTCCAAAAGGAACTTTCAAAACCATGCAAATACATGGAAATTAACTAACCTGCTCCTGAATCAGCAATAGGTAAAAAACAAAATCAAGATAGAAATTAAAAAATTCTTTGAACTGAGTGACAGTAATGACACAATCTATTGAAACTGCTGGGGAGAGCCAAATCAAGAACGAACTGCCATTCACAATTGCTACAAAGAGAATAAAATACCTAGGAATACAACTAACAAGGAGCATAAGGGACCTCTTCAAGGACAACTACAAACTACTGCTCAACGAAATAAGAGAGGACACAAACAGATGGAGAAACATTCCATGTTCATGGTTAGGAAGAATCAATATCGTGAAAATGGCCATACTGCCCAAAGTAATTTATAGACTCAACGCTATCCGCATCAAGCTACCATTGACTTTCTTCACAGAACTGGAATAAAACCACCTTGAACTTCATATGGAACCAAAAGAGAGCCCGCATAGCCAAGTCAATTCTAAGCAAAAAGAACACAGCAGGAGGCATCACACTACCGGACTTCAAACTATACTACAAGGCTACAGTAATCAAAACAGCATGGTACTGGTACCAAAACAGAGATATAGACCAATGGAACAGGACAGAGGCATCGAAGGCAACACAACATGTCTACAACCATACAATCTTTGATAAACCTGACAAAAACAAGCCATGGGGAAAGGATTCCATGTTTAACAAATGGTGTTGGGAAAACTGGCTAGCCATGTGCAGAAAGCAGAAACTGGACCCCTTCCTGACACCTGACACTAAAATTAACTCCAGTTGGACTAAAAAACTTAAACATTAAGACCTGGCACCATAAAAACCCTAGAAGAAAATCTAGGCAAAACCATTCTGGACATAGGAGTAGGCAAGGACTTCATGACCAAAACACCAAAAGCATTGGCACCAAAAG